TAAAATCTGCAGAGTTATTTTGTATTTTTACTTGGTTTATTATATTTTAAATCTTAAATGATTAAATATTTAATATTATAATTTTGTATTTTTATTATAATTTTTATTATAATAATTTATTAATTTTGTTATTATTGTCTGTCAAACAATCTACACATATATAGGGTTTAAATTATAGTATATATTATTTCATATTAATATTTAATATATCATCTTACTATAATTTAATAATGAATTTTATTAAATGATAGTAATTACATTAGAATTTATTAGTATTGTATTTGAAGTTTTTGTAAATATATTTTTATCGAATATTTCATTTTAATATTCATTGTAATTTACTTCTTTGGCTAGCAGACAAAAATGGCCACCTCCAAATCTCTATGATATTCTGGTTTTGGTTCCCCTCTATTTGTCTAGGTTTTTTTTTTTAGTAAGTTTTTGTTTTATAAGGTCAATACTTTGGGTTAGGGGTTTCTAATAGTAACTGTGATCCCTGACCCTGAATTGTGACCAGGTGTCTATTAGTAACCGAAAACCTGCCTAATCTCATCACCAGCAATTAAAACCTTTCTTTTTTATGGCCACATGCAGGCCAGGTATCCACCCGTGATCTCATCTGACCCCTAATGATCATTCAAAGGTCATGCGGGTCACAATTAAAGCCATTAAGTCTGTCTGGTCTGGCAATACGCATCGTCATTTCAGGCCACAGCTCTTTTTTATTCTCTCATAAAACACACAGGCTTGGAGTACTAGTGTAACACTCACTAACCTGATGGTGTATACATTTCACCCATTAAATAGAACAGACGACGGTCATGCACCGTTGCAGCGCTGTTGAACTGACTTTTTAAAACCATATTAGACACCATGTTTAACCAATTAGCTAATGGTAAAATGGAACATTAGCTAGATTTTGTGTTGTTGTGGTAAACGTGTATGTGTTTTACATTACATCAGCTGTTCCACTTATTCTACTGTGGAACAAATACCAGCTCAAACGCTTTTTGCCATCTTTGATGTGTTTGCTAACCGAGATAAAGTAGACTCCAGCGGTTTAAAAACACAGATCAATACAAAGATGTAGACTTATAGAAGCTTCATATTCTTCCATGGCTCTTTAGCGATGTGACACTGGGAAGCTGGGGGCCCACCTCTGCTGCTCTCCAAAACCAACATCTGGGTATCATGAGCAGCTAAAGTTAGAAGCACATGTTGCTTTCATTACTGCAAAATAGGAGTCACACTCAAGCAGGCGTGACACCCACAACCGCCTGTGGAATATAAAGGCAAGAAGGGCAGATGAGGGGTGTAAAAGGAGAGAATGACTGGAAGAGGAGGACTTTTTGTGTGCGCAAGTTCCACAGATCAATTCAGTGGATGGTTTTAATGGACATTACAATCAAAGAGTCAGCAGATGAAAGTTAGTTCACGTCCTCCATGTCAATAGTATCACTCTCATTTAAATGTACACATTTGCCAGCTGTTTTTGTCCAGAGAAACTTGCAACATTGCATTTAAGAATCAGGAATTGAACTGACAAATTGACTTGGGAATCAAACTCTTTACCTTGACATTGCTAGCTTTTGTTTGGTCTATTTTTTTTCATATCGTTTTGTGATTTGTGTTTTCTTTCTTAAAATTAACACTTGATTCAAAACTATGGAAGACAATTTCTGCTACATAAGGGGGGGGGGAATCATAATAATGAAAACATATGTAAAATATCTATTATGAAATAGATATAATAAGTCATATTTAGGGTTGCAAAGTGGTGGAAAATGTCTGGAAAGTTTCCAACTTTTTGCAACCCTACTCATAATTATGAGATGAAAATACAAGTCATAATTATGAGATAAAAAAGATGAAACAGTAAGATAAGAAGTCATTATGCTTAAACAAAATGGAAAATTATGAGATTAAAAGTTGCAATTGTAACAAGAAATAGAGATTATGAGATGAAAAGTCATAATTATAATTATAGCTAATTATAATTATAATTTACAATTATTTCATAATTATGACATAAAAAGTCCAAATTTACCAAAGCATATTTTTTTTCATATCTGGAGGAAATGGATTTTTCAAACAAAACTGATTGAAATAAAATAGATGGCATTCACTAATATACTTGATAAATTGTGTCCCATATGAATTTAATACAGAACACATTTTTTCCACCTTAAATATAGCACAGTTCTGTGACATTCAGCATAGCTAACAATCCTAGGTGTGAATTGAAAGTCGAGCATAAAAAGTTAAAAGTCTGAATTTTTTTCTTGATACTAGCGTAGTTTGTGCTATGTTGATATTTGAAAGTCCCAGTTGTGCAGAATTTTATCAGAAATGTCTTTCATCTGAAGCTTATCAATGACCTCAATCGCTTGGGGGACTAATCTGCCCTGATTTTGGACCACAAAATGAGAACTTTTCTGTTCTTAGGACCCAGCTCATCTGAGATCTCATCTGTCTTGTTCAAACAGCGCTGTAATGCTGTAGGCCAAAGCTATTAGTCATTAATTGCTGGCAGGTGTTTGGATCTATTGACAAATGTGTCTGCTGCATCTGCCTTTGGGATACAGTGAGGGTCGATGTGTCTCATGACGCAACTATACAATTGAAGAAGCTGGAGGGAGGACACAGTTTTGTAAGAGTAATATAATTGACAAAAAGGGATTTGAGAGAAATGTGGTTAGAAATTCTGCAAGCATGTGAAAAATTGAAACAATTGAACAAGATTTTGGTGACCTTGAAGGCATGCCCATTAAATCAAAATACAATAAATAATAAAAGCAAATAAATAAAAAAATTAATTAAAATGAAATAACTTTATAAAATAATAAACTAATAACTAATAAAATAATAAATGTTTTACCAAAAAATCTTAATATATTTCTACATTTTGCAAATAAAATAGTATAAAGATTAAATTAAAAGAAAAATTTTAATTAAAGAAATTATATATATATATGAATGAATGAATGATTGAATTAATTAAAAATGAATTATAAGAATAACTTCTAATCAACGTAAGGTCTGTAAAATATTACAGACGTGTTAAAAATCACTGTATCATATGTCTGTATCATGTAACATGTTGCCTTAATCAAAAATAATTAATTAACTGGAATATTGAATTATGTGCACCTATATATATATATATATATAATTGAATATAATATTATGAAATATAGGATAAAAGCAAATTAATTAATGTTTTTTTTTTTTGCCTCAGGACCTGGTTATTTATTTTTTAAATGTTATATATTTCATTTACCTATTATTATAAATATCTTATGTTTACACATGTGTCAGTCTTTAGTTGATCAATACACTGTTTCATTATACCTGTTCTCAATAAATATTTCACAAAACCTTATAACAATGAAACATAAATGAACTGTAAAAAATCAATACAGTGAGGAGGTTACTATTGCTCAGTTTGAACAGCATAGCAACCGTTCTTACAATTTGTACCACATCTTTTAATGACAGAAATAGTAGCTAAATCCAGATTGATCTCTGCACATTTGAACAGCCTCTGAAATTTGATATTGGAAGCAGTTTTCACTCTATCTGACTGACAACTCGAATGACACCAAATAAAGATTATTTAATAAATTTAATAAAAATTATTTGTTTGGCTTTTTTTTGTTAGACCTTATACTGAAGCTTAACCTCAAAAAATATAACTGATCTCAAATGCATATATTCTTTATTATTCTTTATTCTAATGTTTGTTTTGATCTCCACAGTGAAGGATTGTGAAGCGCTCGGTCTAGTCTCGTGCACCGGAATCTACAACAAACCCCGCATGCACGGCGTTGGCCTGGCAACCGTGGCAGCGTCGCTAAATGACAGTTAAAATACTGCAAAGCAAGTTAGACACGAAATACTCACGATACGCGTTTGTTTTACCGAAGACGTCGAGATCTTCAAAAAAAGAAAAAAATGCGTGTTTGTTAGTGAGGTACGTGTTTACGTGTTTATTAGTGAGCCTGCTGTGATTTGGAGTGAGGTATGTAAAAGTGTGCTTCTTTGTTTAACTCGACCGAAAAGTATCACATTTCTCTATATTGTATTCTTTCATTAAAATACAGTGCTTGATCATTTGTATCAGTGCTTGCACTGTAAAAAAAATTCTGTAGTTTTTACAAAATAATTTTGGCAGCTGTGGTTGCCAGAATAATTTTGTTAAAAATACAGAAAAACTGTAAACACATTTACGGCCAAAACCTGTAGATTTTACAGTATAAAACTGTAATTTACAAACAAGAACATTTGAATGTAAACCAGTAAATTCAACAATGCACACTGCTATTAAAATCTGTTTTGTACCTTGAACATACTGACATCCACCGTAATAATGCAGGTGGTAAAAGAGAAAGCCACATGAAGAATCAAAGCTCATCACAAGTAGCTTCGCTACAAGCAGAAGTGTGTACTGATATATAGAAGGTGCACAGAGTCTTTCATGCAAACACTAAACACCATAAAGGTAACACACATGATACTTAAATAATGCATTCAACTTTCATTAAACAACAGAAGATGTAACATAAAGCCCAAACATACATAACTAATAACAAAAACTATTTAAAAAACATGATTATTTAAACAAAATACTTTCAAATGTGGAGTGTCATGCAGGGAATTCTGGGAATATCAGTTTACAGTTTTTGACTGTAAATTATACATTGATTTGTTATTTTTACTTCTAAAAACTGTACAATTAACAGCATTTTACTGTAAAATTACATGAAATGTCTGGTTAGATATTTTACAGTTTTTCCCTGTATATAGTACGGGAACTTACTGTTAACCTATTAACCGGTTTTCCCCGTAGCGTTTTTACAAAATTTTACAGTTAAAATTACACTTCTTTTTTACAGTGTGGTTATAATGAGATTCAGAAGAGAGAGCGTGTTGAACAATCGATACTTGCGTACTTTTGTGTAACTTTTGTTTCTTTTCTGATGGATTCGGGATAAGCGATTATGGAGAAAAAACAGCCAGAAAAAAATCGTCCCGATTTCGGGATGTTTCGTCCCCAGCGTCCAGCCATGCCAAGCGAGGGTCACAGAGACGAACTTCCCCCGTTAAATACCGCCTCTTCTCTCATTAGTAGACCAGGCACAAATCGGCAACAGGTAACGTTAAACCTCTTCTAAACCTCTTCTACTGGCTTGAGAAAGAAACCCGACTGATATTCCATTTAAGCTTATTATTATTAGCTACTAAAAAAGTAAAGTTTGTGAACAAACTTTGATGTTGGCTTGGGAAAACGTGACCTATTTGAAGTGGTTTTAAAAGCTTGTAGTTTGAAGGTGTTCTTGAAGAAGTTTAAATAAACAGTAGTTTTTAAAGCTTGAATTTTTATTCTGTGTTGTCTGTTTTTTCTTTCTTTTTTTTTTTTTTTTGGTATTCTGTGTTTTATGATGCACAGTTACATTAAAAATTTGAAAGATCACATTAGAAAACAAAACTTTAATTAATTAATTTATTTATTATTGTCAAATAGCATGTTGCACATGAAGTTCTGCATGCTGTTAAGAAGATTAATGCTTTTATGGACAAAAAACAGGCAGAAAACCATCCATTTGGATCTGAGAGGATTCATCCTCTCCCTCCAAGTGTGTCGAGAGGACGTCACAGGGACGAACTGCCCGCCTTGAGTGCCTCCTCGTCAGTTGGTAGCAGACCAGATATAAAATTTATTATTGTCAAATAGCATGTTGCACATGAAGTTCTGCATGCTGTTCAGAAGATTAATGCTTTTATGGACAAAAAACAGGCAGAAAACCATCCATTTGGATCTGAGAGGATTCATCCTCTCCCTCCAAGTGTGTCGAGAGGACGTCACAGGGACGAACTGCCCGCCTTGAGTGCCTCCTCGTCAGTTGGTAGCAGACCAGATATAAGTCAACAAAAACAGGTAAATCACTCTTTCTCTTCTTCTAATGATTGTATCATTTTATTTCCTCAATTAGGGCCTTATGAAATCTGTTAGATTTTTTCCTAGATTCCATTGTTTTTTTTTCTTTTTCCAAAAATCTGTTTTCTGTTTATGGTTTTCTAAATTCTGTCTGAATTGTTTAATTAAATTTGTATCAGCAAAACAAAAGTCTAATCAATTGAATTTATTTTATAAATAATATAATATTATTATAATAAAATATTATATTAACATTTTACAAAAATAGGGCCCTATGAAATTTGTTCTATTTTTTTTTTTGTTGCTAAATTCCAGTTTATTTTTCCCCAAATTCTGCGTTGTCTGTTTTTTTGTGTGTTCTGTGTTTTATAACACACATTTAACATCACAAATTTTAGAAAATTTTAGAAAACAAAACATGGAATTTATTTGTGTCAAATAAAGTGTTGCACATGAAGTTCTGCATGTTATACAGTAAATTCTATTTTTTATGGACAAAAAAAAAACAGAAAGAAAACCATACATCTATATCTAAGATGATTCATCCTAGAGGACATCACAGGGACAAACTGACCCCTTTGCCCTGCAGATTCTCAAATCTTGTAAGTAAACCAGGCACAACTGGTACACAAATCTTTCTCTTCTTTTACTGATTCTTTCTATCATTTTTATTTTCTCATTTAGGGCCCTATGAAATCCATTTTAGTTTTCTTCCCCAACTTTCGTTCTATTAGTTTGTTCTTGTTCTTGTTTTCAGAATTCTGTTTTTTTTTCCTGTGTATTTTTTTTTCTGGATTGCATTTGAATTAAATTCTGTTGAATTACATTTTTATCATCAAATGTCTAATCAGGTTGATCAAACAAAGTCTAATCAATTGAATTCCTAAAAATAACAGTATAAAATATTATATTAAAATTTTACAGTAAATTCTGTTTTTATTTTTTATATTCTGTTTTATGATACACATTATTACAACAAATTAATTAATGTCAAATAAAATGTTGAACATACAGTTTTGCACATTATACAGTATAAATTCAAGTTTTATGACTGAATCCTGCCATTCATTCTGCATTATCTGCATTGTGGAAAAGATAGGGCCTTACCCATTCATACATGTAAATGAAAACATAAAAGTGGTATGTAGCCTAGGCCTTTGGCCGTAGGGAATAATTGGCTTGCACTCCCCTCAGCATGGTGGCGTGGGTATACCGTTCCCCATAGCGACCCCTAGAGGACGCAGTTCGAAGTTCCCATGAAAGGGAACGTCTCAGGTTACTTATGTAACCATGGTTCCCTGAGTAGGGAACGAGACACTGCGTCCTCTAGGTTTCTTACCATGCTGCGGATGCAAGCTTCAGACGAAGAAGTGAATGATGTGTAGCTCCCGGCGCCTATTTATACTATAGTCGCACCGGTAGTGACGTCATGGCTGTCGCCGGCCAACAAATTGGTGTTTTTTCAATGTATGCTTCAGACACGGGTCACGACGAGGCGTTCCCCCATAGCGACCCCTAGAGGACGCAGTGTCTCGTTCCCTACTAAGGGGACCATGGTTACATAAGTAACCTGAGACGTTTTGTACAAGTGGCTCATTTTGTGTCTATTAACGTGCTTTGTGTAACACCAGATATTCGACAATGAGGACTTTGACTGCCGTACTCCAAAAGAATGGCTGGCTTTAGGTTACGAGCAAGGCTCTGTCGACCGCAAACCTGTTCCTGCCAAAGCCCTGTTGCCAACAAAAAACGGCATTCCACCTGGTACAGTGCTGTCTAAACCCTCTGGAAATACCTGACATATTGTAGTCGAATGGATCCCATCATCAGTCTTGTAGTTCATTCTAAAAATAAATTCATCTTATAGCCCATCCAGTGGGAGCCATATGGGCACATGTGGGAAAAATTAAGTGTCTGTTCTTCATGTGTTTGTCATGTAGTGGATCCAGAGAGCCCAGCTTTGGAGTATTCTTGGCAGTTGGTTGGGGTGCTACAGTACAGCCTGGAGAAGAAGGAGTACTTGGTGCATAAAGCAGACTGTAATGGATGGGTTCGAGATTCTGATGGAAAACCTACTTTGAATGGAGGACAGAGAGAAGGCATGTTCAATAGCCATATATGAACCTTGGTTAATTTAAACACCTCATGAAACCATTTGAAGAACACGTTTTCCCCCAATTTTGATGAGTTTCTTGTTGAAATAGAAAGTAATGACATTTGTCACATAATAGGCTTATCCCAGAAGAGAATGAAAGTAAATAAAAAATGTTTAAATGCCTACTAAAGAGACTTTTATATCATATAAATAACCTAATCAAACCTAATAGACTAATCGGCTGCAAACCACAAAACATATGTTTCGAGTGTTCGAAACATATGTTTTTCAACTTTCATAAACCATTGCATTTCTATTTCACTATCCACAATATTCACTATATTTGACTTCTGTTTCTATTTCATTATGTTTTCTTTCTTTCCCAAGCGGCTTTGTCACTGCAAGAAGGGCGATACTGGGTTCCCAGGATCAGGCTGCTGTTTTGTGCAGAGGACCCACGTGTCTTTGCCCAGAGAGTCCAGTTTGCCCAGGACTTGAGACAGTACACTGAGGCCATGATCTTGTACCATCTTTCCATTGACTGTATGCTAGTCTGGAGTGGCACCCCCACCCTTGACCCCACCAGTTTAGAACGCATCAGAAATTATGCAGTCTCCACACCAGGCCTCCATTTGAAACAGTGAGAAGAATTAAAATAATAATAGGATCAAATATAATTTTACATTTCAATGTATGCAATTGTCAGTGTAGAGGATGATAAAATTAGATAAAAAAAATTAAATATGAGGGCCAAAAATACCATGTAATGATATGTTTTATACACTACCTTTAAAAATTGGGGTCAGTAAGATTTTCTTTTCAACAATGTCAATAAAAACATTTATAATGTTACAAAATATTTCTATTTCAATTAAACGCTGTTCATTTGAACCTTCTATTCATCGTGTGGCACTGATGTTCAGCTTTGCCATCACAGGAATAAATTATATTTTAAAATATATTAAAACTGTTATTTTATATTTGTAAAAAAAAATCAGAATATTACTGTTTTACTGTATTTTTGATCAAATAAACGCATCCTTGGTGAGCATAAGAGGGTGTTTTAAAAACATTACAGAATCTTACAGACCCCAAACTATTGAGCAGTTGTGTATTTGTTTTTTTTTACTGAATATCCAGGGGTTTCATATAAAATATGATTTTTATGCATCTGCAGACAATATATTGCCTCTTAAAAAGAAGTTAATTTCAGGCACTGGTGTATAGTACTGTAAAAAAAGAATTGTATATATATATATATATATATATTCCTTTGCACCCATGTATGATCATTAAGACATTAAATAAAACATTAAGAGTTTCCTATAAAAATCATCTGCACCTTCCATCAACACCAGATGTGCAATCCCAGAAAACACAGCATATAATTATGTAAACAATTACTGATGTCTGCTGAATTAGTTTGTTTTTCAATAAACACATGTGTCTATACAGTCTACAGGAGTGTGTGATGGAGCTGGAGGAAGAGCTTCGTTTGGAGTACATTCACACTATGAACCGGATGTGCTTTGATAAGGTGGTACAGGAAAGCCCAGAAGAGTTCCCCCACATCAAAATTCCTCAAAAAGAACCCGAGAAAGTTCCAGAGAAAGGTAGAGAAATGGGCATCAAAAGAATGGAGACTTTCAGACAGTCTGGGATTTTATGTTGTTGATTTATTTTATGGGCCCACCAACAACGTGCTGTCTCCTTTCCTTCTAGGCCTTGTGTCAGTGCCTGACTATCCTTTTGAGAAGAACCGTGCAGCTTTTGTCTTTAATACTCTGCTCACTAAGCCTGAGGTGATCACTGTGCTGTCCATAGTGAGAGAAGAGTGCAACAGGGTGGCAAAAATAAGTCTGTTTCATGTCAGCTTCACAAAGTCACTTAGCTTGGAGGAGTTTGATTCGGCACAGTCTCAGAAACATGCACAGGTATACAAACTTTCACCTATACACGTACACATACAAATGTGCCTCTGTGTCATCATACACTTTTTGTCTTCCTTCAGGTCCAATTGTTTCTACAAGAGTCATGGCTGGACACTTTATGTACTGGGATTTCGTCTAGTCTGCATGGAAGTCGTGACTGGTACAATCTCTCTGTTTCCAACTGGGATGTTTACCACATGTCTAAACTCTGTCGCTTGATGGCACTGATACGCAGCATTCAGCAGGACACACTCAGGTTCCTGGTGCAGGATTCCCTGGCCAGCTTAGCCGAATTATTGCTCGATGCTTGCCACAATGTCCTACAATGCCCCAAAGATCTGACCTGGGGCCCTGATCTCATAAACAGCCCATACAAGTATGTGAATTCTCATTATCCTGGTTACTGCTTCTTAAATATGCTTATAGGATTATGTTTGATGTTGCTTTATATTACATTTCTTTTCTTTAAATGCTAAAATCTAAATCGGTGGTTCTGTTGTTGTACAACATTAAATTGTTTTATTTTTTACATATGTATTAAGAGGTACACATCAGCTTAGATACTGTAGGAGGGCCTTCAGATACTCTTTTAGATAAAGGGTAGCCTTGGAGTCAAAAGAAACAAGGTCTAAATAAGATCAATTGAGTGCAGTTGTTTTATACTATATGTAACTTATCCATGATCCAACATTATTTTATGCAGGCCAAAAAAGAAACCCCTTTTCTTAGTGGATTTGGTACTTGATCAGACTGGTGTTGGTTACAGCACTCCTCTAGAGAGCTTTGAGACCTCCATTATCAACTTGTTTGATAAAGGAATCCTGTCCACACACAACATACCTCAACTAGACAAGGTTCCCTATCTTATTGCTTGTACATAAATCATTTTTATGAAGAATTTTTTTTAGTTACTATATTATTAAACAAAGCCAGAATTATTTGGTAAAAATGCTTCTTAAATTATTACAATTATATTTCTGAAGGCTTTGTTCTGTTTTTGTTCCTTCCCATTCTCTCAGTTTGTAATGAAGAACCTGCTCGTCATTGGATATGTATTAGATACAGTGGCCTTGTGGGAACCTGATGTCAACAATCTGAGGGAGCGCATCAGTTTAGCCCTGAAACAGGCCATCATACCTCTCAGATCCTACGCCTGTGAATATGAATGCCACCTTGAGCTCCACAATTCAGATATCAACACTTTTCTGCAGTAAATCTCTATATTGTTTGCTAGGTTTTTTTTATGAACTGAGAGACCAATATACTATGCATTGTTATACACTACAGAGAAAGGATTGTCCTTCTGCTTATATTTTTGTGTCTCGAAGGTTGCACAGTCAGGAGAACCAGACCGTTCAGGAAGTGAAGCAGGAAGTTCTGGAGCACCTGAGGGAGATGGAACTTTTAAATCAGTCCATCCCTTCCGGAATCATCATCGGTCCCTTCGAGGTCAGCATGGAGGCCGTTCGGCAAAGCCTGGTGAAGAAACGCAGAGACCTCGCCAGTGCAGTGCTGGACCGACTCGCTCTGAGGTTACGTCAACAGATACAGGATGTGAGTCAGTGTTCATAAGGACTAGTAACATTTTTATCAAGTCTGACAGTATCGCTGTTATGTAATATTGTGTGTGTTTCAGGCAAGTACGGAGTGTAAAGCCATCAGCAGAAAGCTGTCAGAGAAACCTAGCTGCATTGAGGAGCTCATAGAGCAGAGAGAATGGATGAAATTACTCCCTGAGCAACTCAAAGCACATGAAGTACAGTCACTGTTTTATTGTTTATTATTAACGAGATCCTTTGTGTTTTGCCTTTATTGGGAATGGATAGTGGAGAAGTGACAGAAAATTGTGCCACCATGTGGCATATCAGAGCACATGCAATACTCACTGGCCACATCTTCCTAATTTTGATAGTACTTGTCTTGCTTTGTAAATGACTTTTTTGTACTTTGTCAAATGATTAAATGATCCGGTATGCCATCTGTATCTGTATCATCAAGCATCTGTTGTTTAAAGTTGATTAAAGCTTAAAAATCCTCATTGCATTGTTGCATTTAATGCTGAATGACTTTTTTTCTCTGTCTTCCTCTGCTAATGGCCTCCTGCAGGAGTGTTTGTCCAAAGCTATGTCTGATTATGATCTAATAGATGAATTCTTCTACAGTCTCTCCGATGAGGATGTCAATGAGAAGTGAGTTCATCATTGCCTCGACATTGAAATAAATAGTGTTTTAACACGGTTGCTTTTAACTAATCTAAAATCAGCCATTCTACACATCTATATCACATTTCTTCAGTAGCTGAGCTCCTAAATACTAAATGTTGTGTAGGTGGACAGCAATGGCCTGGCCCTGGATGATCCTGAACCAGATGGAGAGAGTGAAAGCCCAACATGCTGAGGATGAAGAACGCTTCCTTAAGATCCAGCTTGTCGACCAAAACAGCTTCCTGGATCTCTTGAATGTCCTGCAGGTTAGACTCATAAAGTCAAGAATGAGACGTTTTCCCTGGAATAGATGGTCACTCTGGGCATTGCAATTAAGTCACCTCTCTTCATTTTCAGATGACGGTGGCTGGATTATCTGGTTACACAAACCTTGGGCGAGCGCATGAGGTGGCAAATGAGGTGCGGAGAGTGAGCAAGCAGCTGAAAGAGTGTCAGGAAATGGCACAGCTTTACAACAACCGCGAACGACTCTTTGGCAAACCAGTCTCTAATGTAGGTTAACTCTACACACAAATTTCTGTGTAGTGATTCATTGTTTTATTATTGTCGTTCTATGACATTAATGAGACCATACTCATAAATATGTTTTATGGTTGTGCTGTAGTACACCGAGCTACAGAAGCTGAACAAAGAGTTTCAGCCATTTTATGACCTGTGGAAGACAACATCTGATTGGCTGCGTTGGCATGAAAGCTGGCTCAATGACCCGCTGTCAGCCATCAACCCTGAACAATTGGAGTATAATGTCAATGATGCTTACAAGACTATGCACCAGTGTGTCAAACAGTTTAAAGACATTCCTGGTGAGTAGGAAACAATGTTAGAGGACACAAACAAATATTGTATGTTTTTGTGTCATACCTAGCATCAAGAATGAGATATGTTTTCCTGTTTTATAAGTGAAGCAAAAATTTTCATAAATACAAAAGGAGAAGGAAAATCTGTGGTTTAGACATATGTATTATGTGTTTGTATCATACTGTTCATAACATGTTTTTATCATTATTGACTCTCTATTCAGCCTGTCAAGAAGTGGCATCTGAAATCCGGACTAAGATTGAAGATTTCCGTCCATTCATTCCTCTGATCCGGGGCCTGAGGAATCCTGGCATGCGGAACCGCCACTGGGAACTTCTTTCTGAACGTATTAACATGAATATTAAGTCTACAGCGAACCTCACCTTTTCCCTTTGTCTGGAGCTGGGCCTACAAAATCATGCGGAGAAAATCACCCAAGTGGCTCAGGAGGCTGGAAAAGAATATGCTATTGAGCAAGTGAGTGCAATATTTGTCCCATGGAGTTGTTTTTCAGATGCATTTTGTATTCATGAGGCACATAAGAACACTGTGTGTTTGGTAGTATATGAAAATAAGCGATGTATACTCTTTCTCCGTGTTACCTGCACCCAGATATCTCCATTTATTTGTCAGTAAAAGGCCGCCAGATGACTCAAAGTTGACATTTTGCATCACCTAGTGGACTTTTGACAGCTCCAGGGCTTTTGTTAAAACTACAGCTTGTACTTCCGCATTTTTTATTTATTTATTGCGTTTCTTCTTCATAGACAGCCAAGTTTTTTCACAAGCTCATCTTGTCAGTGGTGAATTGCTCCTTTAAATTTAATCAGCAAATATAAAAAATCAATTAGAATTTATTTTTTAATGAGAAATTACAATACATTGTGGGATCATTTGTTAAGGTTTATTGAGCCCTGAGGTAGTGCTACACCACAAGGACCATTAAGGCCAGAAGTGGAGCAGCGCTGCATGACCCACTAAGCCCAGTGGTGGAGCTGCACCATGGGGCTCACTGCATTCCAAAGCTACAGTAGGGGTGTCTGTACATTTGTGGCTGATATCATATCGTAATTCAAAATTCTGGCTGCTTGAGGTCAAGACATTGACTCTAGAGGCACTAAACTCATATTTAATGGGATATTTTCTAGCCCTTCGATAAATTATACAAATTAACAATATCACAGGAACATTTTTGCTGGTTGATATTTTTTCCTGAATTGCATAACAGAACAATTCCACAGACATTTTATGTCATATGACAGTATTTTTTGCTCTCATACATAGGCTCTGATAAAGATGGAGGAGGAATGGTCAACAGTGATGTTTGAGGTGATGCCTTATAAGGAGACAGGAACTTACATCTTGAAGAGCCCAGACGAAGCTTCTCAGCTCCTGGATGACCACATTGTAATGACTCAGAGCATGGCCTTCTCCCCATATAAAAAACCCTTTGAGGAGAGAATCAGCAAATGGGAAAGTAAATTGAAAATGACACAGGTAAGCCAATCATCCTGCAGGTTTGATTCTGAAATCCACAAGGTGAGGTACTTTTGGATTGTTTGTTTAGTTTGCATGTAGGCATCTTCACCAAAAACAATAACTAAAAGTATTTGTGTTACTGTGGTATTCTGCTGGTAGGAAGTATTAGAAGAGTGGCTCATCTGTCAGCGGTCGTGGCTGTACATGGAACCTATTTTCAGCTCTGATGACATCAACCGTCAGCTGCCTATGGAAGGGAAGAGGTATCTGACCATGGAACGCACCTGGAGGAAGATCATGAAGGCTGCCCATGATAACAATAAGGTGAGCATGGTCAAACTACTTAATCATACTATATTTGATTTGTCAGTGGTTCACCAAAGAATTGAGATGTGATTGTCTTTATGAGTCCAGGTGATTGAGGTGTGTCCCGAACCACGTCTATTGGCTAGTCTCAAAGACTGTAACAATTTACTGGAGCTCGTGCAGAAAGGACTGAGTGAATACCTGGAGACCAAACGAAGTGCCTTCCCCAGGTAAAAATGATCAGTTTTTATGGTTTCATTCAACAGTAGGGAAGGCCCAGGGCAATTCATTAAACAATAATTTGCCATTTAACATTTTGTTTAATTTCTTAGTGCTTTAAAGTTAAATCTAACTCTGCAGGGTCATTATAGTTGTTGAAGCAATTATTTAAGAACTCTCTTGTTGTCTGGTTGTAGATTTTACTTTTTATCAGATGATGAGTTGCTGGAGATTTTATCTCAGACTAAAGATCCAACAGCAGTGCAGCCACATCTCCGCAAATGCTTTGAGAATGTTGCCCGGGTGAGTCCTCTTTTGCATACATCAGATATGATTTGCTGTAATATGTTTACTATATTATTAGCACGGTAGAAAATATTATTTTAGTTTATATAATATCTGACCGTGGACCACAAAACTAGTCATAAGTAGCACGAGTATATTTGTAGCAATAGCCAACAATACATTGTATGGGTTAAAATTCTTGATTTTTCTTTTATGCTGGAAATCATTAGGATATTAAGTAAAGATCATGTTCCATGAAGATATTTTTTACATTTTCTACCGTTAATATATCAAAACTTTTTCCTATCCTAACAAACCATACATAAATGGAAAGCTTAATTATTCAGCTTTCATATGATGTATAAATCTCAATTTCAAAAAAACGGACACTTATGACTGGTTTTGTGGTCCAGAGTCACATATAGTGTTTCATTTAATGTCTGAAATTCTGAAATATGTTGTACAACATGCAGCTCCAGTTCCAGTCAGATCTGCTGATCACACACATGTACTCTGCTGAAGGAGAGGAAGTCCAGTTGTCCGTCCCTGTGTCTCCTTCTGGGAATGTGGAGCATTGGTTGCGGGAAGTGGAGAACTCCATGAAGGCCAGTGTAAGAGACAACATTAGTCGTTCACTGCAAACCTATGTAGAGGTAAGTGTTGTTTCTTATTTTGAAAATGTCAAGTCAGTGATTTTTAACAAAGTGCATAGCTAAAACAACTTTTTTGTTTGTTTTATGTAAATGGCCCTTTAATCAGTATGAATCCCCATAGATTTCCAGAGTGCACTAGATTTTTTGTTACAGCCTAAATACAATGCGTCTTATAATAACAAGTAGTTTATGTTGTCAGTGAATGTTTTGTTATAAAGTCTCAACCCTGCCTGCAGCGTCCTCGTACAGAGTGGGTGTTGTCCTGGCCTGGGCAGGTGGTGATCGCTGGCTGTCAAACATTTTGGACCCAAGAGGTGTCAGAGTCTCTGGATAAGGGAGACCTTGCAGATCGGCTTTATCCACAGCTACAGACACAGGTGCGCACTGTTTACAACAGTGCAAACAATTAAACATTCCTGGGGATGTTTTGTGCATTACAATGTTGTAAATTCTGATGAGGAATCATTGGATGTAAGTTAAAGTGTGTGTTTGTATATGCCCAAACAGTTGGGAGATTTGGTGCAGCTGGTGCGGGGTCGTCTGTCAAAGATGCAGCGGGGGGTACTCTCAGCACTCATTGTGATCGAAGTGCATGCTAAAGATGTGGCAGCAAAGCTGGTTGAGGAGAAAGTTTCCAGTGTCAATGACTTTGAGTGGATCAGCCAACTGAGGTTATACAATATAAAATCAATATATATATATATATATAAATTGTTTGTAACATTATAATAGCAGTATTGTAAAAGTAGTAATATGTGTGTGTGTGCGTGTGTGTATATATATAGAGAGAGCGAGAGAGAGAGAGAGACATCAGTTTACAGTACACGTGTTAGTGTTTGTGTTTTCATAGATATTACTGGCGCGATGACCTGTACATCAGAGCAGTGAATGCTGAGTTCTTGTATGGTTATGAGTACCTTGGTAACTCAGGACGACTTGTTATCACTCCATTGACAGACAGGTGACATTTGGAAAACTGAACTTCATTTATATGTAGCTGTACATATGCTTTTCAAAGAAAAGTATTTTACAGGATACTTTCTTTGCTAGAAATTAAAATGATATACGATGTTTGTCCATCACACAGGTGCTACCTCACCCTGACTGGTGCGCTTCACTTAAAGTTTGGAGGTGCCCCAGCAGGCCCTGCCGGTACAGGAAAGACAGAGACCACTAAAGACCTGGGCAAAGCTCTGGCCATCCAGACTGTAGTTTTTAACTGCTCTGATCAGCTGGACTTCATAGCTATGGGCAAGTTCCTCAAAGGCTTAGCTAGTTCAGGGGCCTGGGCCTGCTTTGATGAATTCAATCGAATTGATGTGGAGGTTTTATCAGTTGTGGCTCAACAGATCACAACCATCCAAAAAGCCCAGCAGCAAAGAGTGAGTAAAATCACACACTTGAGGCCTACTATTTAAACACTATCATACGTGCATGTTAAGGACAGAAGGAATGTTTTTTTGGAACATAACTTTCATACATCATATCTAATAAATTATTTTTAATTATTATCCTTATTTTTATAGACTAGAAAATCATGAAAATTCATTGGTAAAAATTTGTGGAAAACCCTGATGTCCTGTTTGTTGTGTTCAGGTGAAGAAATTTGTATTTGAAGGCATGGAAATCTCTCTTGTTCCATCCTGTGCAGTCTTCATCACTATGAATCCTGGTTATGCTGGTCGAACTGAACTACCAGATAATTTAAAGGTAATTTAAATGTATGGAATTCACCAGCAGCAATGTAAAAGCTCAAAATAAAAAAGACTGATTGATACTGTACTGTATGTGTTCCTTAGGCTCTATTCCGTCCCGTGGCAATGATGATCCCTGATTACGCCATGATAGCAGAGATCTCTCTTTACTCATTCGGTTTCAGTGATGCCAAAATATTGTCCAAAAAAATCACCAGCACCTTCAAACTGTCCTCGGAACAGCTCAGCTCACAGGTTTGACTTTTATGGCATTAGTGCAGCTATGTTGGGGGGGGGGGGGGGGGGGTTAAA